CAGATGCCTGAATCTCGCTTACGACATTTTCAAGATAAGCTTGCATTTATATACAAGTTCCGAACAACAACATTCGGACCGTCGGTCTACCGAGCAATATCACACGCGCAGTGAAAGATCTTCCATTATTATTTCTCCACACTGGTTTCCCTCCGTCGTTATACTTAAAAGCTTTTGCGGTTACTACTGTCTATCGTATACCGGGTCTTTAATCCAACTATAGCCATAGCGCTTGCAACGGCACTGAAATATCGGGGAGTCATTAAATGTAAAAAAATTAGTAAGAACCCTAGTGTGAAACAAACCGAGTGTGGGAAGAGTCTCTTCTTTTTTGTCGGTATCGCTCTTGACAGAATGATCGTCGCCATCACTTCAGGTGTTGGTGGGTAGCTTCACAACACGCCGCCTCTGATGGCGACCGTCAGTCTAGAACCGATCTAGAGTCTAATTTTTTAGGTAATTTCTCGTGTGACTCGGCCTAAATGAAAACATTTAATTTTAACTTACAGCTTACAAGGTGAACGTAATTGAAATACGAGAGTGAGGATTAATATTTCATTACTGGAAAGGATTGCGACAGTGAAGTGGCAGTGGGCAGGACACAATGCTCGTAGAACGGATGGCCGTTGGGGCCAGAAAGCTCTTGAGTGGCGACCGCGTACCAAAATACGTAGCGTGGGTAGGCTTACCACAAGATGGACCGACATCTATTGAGGTTCGTGGGGATCCGCTAGATGCAGGCAGCACAGGACCGGTCTTTGTGGCGAGGCTTGGGGGACGCCTATGTCTAGCAGTGGACGTCTGTAGGCTGATAAGAAGAAAAAGGACCGAATGGTTGAGTCTACAGCTAATGGCATTCATTTAGTGGTCTAGTATAGCGACTGTAAGACGCCCATTAATCGAAATTCATGACTGCCGCAAATAGGCAGGGTGGTAGTACCTACCCGTGCGGACTCACAAAAGGTCCTACCACCAGTTATTACGCAAATTATAATTTTGCGGGTTTCATTTTTATTACACGATGTTATTCCTTAACCGTGGAAGTCAATCGTGAACATTTGTTAAATACGTATTCCATTAGAAAAATTGGTACTTGCCAGCGGGATTCAAACACCGGTGCATCGCTAGATAGGTACGAAAGCATCGGATATCTTATCCTTAAGGCCACGACGAATTCGTTATCATAAAATCGAAGTGCTATTTTTAAAACTCGAGCTGTTTTTATCCTCCTTTCTAAAGTAAACGTCCTTACAACAATCTCGAAGGCGGATCTGTTCGTGAAACGTCCGAGTCGTGTGTAGTTCTGTATAGGTATCTGTAGTACGGGCCGCGGGTTACATTTCGTAAGCTTGTCTCAACTAAACAGCTATTATGGTAATTACTAGCATTATTTCTTTAAGGTCTGCCCCACCTGTAATTGGATCGGGTGATCACTTTAAAATTAATTGATTTGAATATTCACGTTAACGCAATTAGGCGAGATATGATCTCATACGCGATGGCCATGTAGCAAGATTTATCACGTATACAAAGAACGGTGGAAAAGCGTCGATGGGGGTGTACAGTAGGTAACCATATGGTTTTTTTATTGCTTAGATGGGTGGACGAGCTCACAGCCCACCTGGTGTTAAGTGGTTACTGGAGCCCATAGACATCTACAACGTAAATGCGCCACCCACCTTGAGATATAAGTTGTAAGGTCTCGGTATAGTTACGACGGCTGCCCCACCCTTCAAACCGAAACGCATTACTGCTTCACGGCAGAAATAGGCGGGACGGTGGTACCTACCCGCGCGGACTCACAACAGGTCCTACCACCAGTAATATATGTAGGGTCACACACACATGCTTAATAAGGTAACAACCTGGCTACGTAATGCAAGGTGTCATCTTCACCATTCCACGCTTGTGGGAAAAGGATATTGGGACGACAGTCCAGTTGTAACGGTCATACAGCGAACACAGTTCCACTTAGGTAGCTATAATAAAACTGTATGTACCTATTGTATTTTCGGTAAATACACAAGTGTGTGAGTTATTAACGACTTTCATTTACAACAACTGGGCTCATTCTAGATCATACACGTTCAAAAGGTCGGTCTGATTACCCAGCCTCTGGTTTAAGTCTTATGACCCACTGTGCAGGTCTCCAAGCCGATATTGAGGGTCATAAGATATCGTACAGCGCAAAGTCTCAGCACAAATCATTAATCAAGGTGTCACGTCACGTTTCTTACCCTTGGATTGTGCTGAGAACGTCCCACAATCGTGGGCCACGCCTCGACCTGACCCGCGTGATTTAACACCTGCACTCGGTCGTGAGATAAAGGACTATGTGTCGGTTTAATTACAACAAGTGTGCTATGTTAATTTAGTTATAGTTAAGCAACTAAAGCGTTCAACAAAAATGTTTACGGGCGTCGGCCACTAGATGGCTTCCTTTCGATTAGTTTCTCATTGCTCCTCTAGATGGCAGTAGCACATTACCTATCTTAAGATTCTATTATTAATGAAGGATTTTGTAAATTTTCAGAGACCACAATTTGATAAATTTTTATCAATTTGTTTATAACAAATAAAGACTTGTATAATTTATTTTCCGTATTTAGTTATACAATAATTAAATGCCTTAACTTCAACAGCATGTAAGTTTAGGGGCATCCGCCACAAGATGTCGTTAGTTTCCATACAAAAAAGATTTGTCGTAAGCATCGCAGTTTCAGAGCCCTGGTGTTATGTGTCACAGAGTGGCGAGCACTAATGGCTATCGAAAAAGTATTCGTATCGCTATCGAGAAAATATTTATGGGATCTAAACAGCGCCCCCTACCGTCCGTATAAAGAATTAATTTCAGCAGCACGTATGAGTTTACTTACTGTCGTTTCGCTGTTTTTTTCCTACCTAAGCTGAGAGCCTTGAGAGGCTATATCAGCGTAACCTTAACTAGTAGGTGAGCTCACGGGGCTCAAATCGGAGTGATGCTAACACTGACCCTAGCAAGAGCAGTGCTTCGCAGAATCTACCGCCGGATCGGAAACGCGACCCACTAAGAAGATCCGGCGGGAAACTCAGTGGGCTGTGTCTGTGGGTTAATCTACTCGCAAACGACGGGTTCGACGCGAAATCGCGCTTGGGAACACAGATCAGTGTTTTTGAAATTACGCAAGTCGATGTAAGACATAATTAATTGCAAGGCAAATACTGTTTATCAAGACTTGAGGCTATTTATATGTACAGGACCACCCATTTACAAGTAATCTATCAATAAATACTCCACACTGTGTAGGTGGACTTGGTAACTAATTCAATTACGCCAATTATAACTTCTTACGTGGGTATATAAGTAAATACATTGTTTTTTTTTTTGATTACGCGATTTGACCACTTTTATTCAAATAGGTTTGAAGCCTCATTTGCATGGGTTATGATGACGTTATCTTCTGCAAATGTTCCAATTCAAGACTGAAGTTGTTATCTCAAGTTGGGTTGAAAACATTCGCAATGTGATGTGATGGTTTTTTTTTTATTTCTTTGATGGGTTGTTAGTTGGTGCTCACCTGGTGTTACGTGGTTACTGGAGCCCATAGACATCTACAACGTAAATGCACCACCCACTTTGAGATATAAGTTCTAAGGTCTCAGTATAGTTACGACGGCTGCCCCACCCTTCAAACCGAAACGCATTACTGCTTCACGGCAGAAATAAGCTGGGCGATGGTACCTACCCGTCCAGATTTACAAGAGGTCCTACCACCAGTAATATGTGGGCTTGTAGGCCGTGCGCTTGTTTTTATACTATTTCAAGAAGAGACCAATAACGTATAATCGATTGAATTATGCGCATATCAATCTTCAACTACGCGTCGAAGATTTTCTCGTCCTATCTGTTAACAATCAGGCCGAATGATATCTAATCTTTCAGCTTCACCGCGCCGCTGTCACTTTTGACAGCTGTCACCTGTCATCGTGACATCCCGTACAAGTTCACGTCCAATTAGCGTTCGAGTTCGTGTGTGGGATCTTAATTGAAACGTTCTAGAGAATTTTAATTAAGATAAAACTACACGTACGCTTCAGTGGAAATACGATTGGTATTAAAATACAATTTTATGGTCATGTCCATATGAGGTGTCAATGGTGTCAAGCGCGTATGTTCTATGGCTGTTTGAGATTGTTTCAAAATAAACGTGGGATCATGTTGAAGTTTTATTTACTTGTTTATTAGGTAAATTAAGATAATTTAATTTGCTTGCGAAGAAAACTATAAGCGTAAATTAAATGATTTTAATTAATTTTAATTTGCTATTAACTAGTAGTAGGTAACTAGTAGTAGGGTATCTTGAGAACGCAAGATTAAGGCATTCCGGTTCGAAACTTGGGATAGCCGTTATACCACATGTTGAGTCCTAGACCTCATGTCTCAAGAGCGGTATCGATTATCCTTATCCTGGTGCGCTGTTAGTCCTTCCTCCGCTCTATTCAATAAAACTAATAAGAATAAATTATTTTGAGTTTATTTATTGCTCAGTCGACAAACAGACCACGAACATCCTGGTCTTAAGTTACCGGAGCCCATAGACATTTACAACGTAAATGCCGCCACTCACCTTGAGGTATGAATTCTGAATCTCAGTTTTTACAGTACGACGGCCGCCCCACCTTTCAAATCGAAACGCATTACTGCTTCACAGCAGAAATAGGCGGGGTGGTGGTACCTACCCGTGCGGACTCAAAAGACGTCCTACCACCACCAGTCATTACGCAAATTACAATTTTGCGGGTTTGATTTTTATTACACGATGTTATTCCTTCACCGTGGAAGACAATCGTGAACATTTGTTAAGTACGTTTTTCAATAGAAAAATCAGTACCCGCCAGCGGGATTCGAACACCGACACAGTCGCATTGTTTGACACGAATACCGGGGTCTTATCTTTTAGGCCGCGACGACTTCTATGGATTAATTAAAAAAAATATATATATATATTTGGTTGTTTCAGGATTTACTCGAGAGGATATTCCGTTTGTTTGACGTCAAGAAATTAGACCATTTAGTCCAAGATGACTGGATCGAGTACCTCAAAGAACGGCTACCGTGAGTAGAACCTTCCTAATGTACAAAGGATACCACTGTGTGCTTAGTGAGAGCTTTTTAACGTTCTCGATAGCGTAAAAGTTAACTCAAATTTGTATGGAGCTGGAACGTTTGCCTACGTTTGTCGCTAGGGGCGCTGTTAACTTTTACGCTATCGAGAACGTTAAAAAGCTCACACTAAACACACTCTTCTACTCATTTTTACGACAAACTTAAGGCTTGATTGAATATGGTAGGCAGCGGCTTGGCTCTGCCCCTGGCATTGCTGACGTCCATGAGCGACGGTGACCACTTACCATCAGGTGGGCCGTATGCTCGTCTGCCTACAAAGGCAATAAAAAAAAAAAAAAAAAAAGAATAAAAACGTTCGCTTTGGTTTTTGATTTGATGAAGAATTCAGGTTTGGAGGATCTTTCTTACGGCAGATGGGTAGATGGGATCCGCCTGGACTGAAATAGATACTGGAGCCCATAATCATCCCAACCCGAGTGCCACCACCTAATGCAAGTCGGGTGTCTGGAACATACCTAAAAATACAGAATATTGGTGTTAAAAATGGAAAACAAAAAAAAAGTTTTAATACTTAGGTATTTTCAAAGTCACGATATTACCTTATTATGATTTATTCTAAGCGTTATAAGTAACACAAAATTTATAGAACATTTACATTTATTACATTACAGAAGATTAAAAGTTGGTAACTGTGGTCAGTTAATAGTAAAATTTTACTTTCAACACACATCCTATTACATATAATATAGGAGGTGTGTTGAAAGTAAAATTTTGCGGCATTTAATGCGATATTTGTAAGATAAGCCGGTGTGTTTCACAGGGAAGAGAGGCAGCTGGACCTGGTGGAACAAATCGAGAGCGTCGCGTACGTGTTGTGCGGCGATGGTGTTATCAGCCTCGACACATTTCAACACATCATGCAGAATAAAGTTGTAAGTCGATACCCACGTCGTTTCGGATCCTATAGCAGTGGACGTCTGTGGGTTGATAAGAAGAAGGTGCTTTTATGTACCTCAAGCACCGGTCACCGTCAAGTGAATTAACCCCCAGACACAGCCCGCTGAGTTTCTTGCCGGATCTTCTCAGTGGGTCGCGTTTCCGATCCGGTGGTAGATTCTGCGAAGCACTGCTCTTGCTAGGGACAGTGTTAGTAACGTTCACAAGATAGAGCCCCGTGAGCTCAACTACTAATTAGTCAGCTTAAACTGGCATAACCCTCTAAGGTTATCAGATTAGGTAGAAATAAGTCAATACGTTTAATGTAAAGAATGACAACGACATAGGTAGTACACTTAATAAGAGATATTAAATTGAAGACAGAAATAATTACATACACTACAAGTTGCGACATCTAGCGAAAATCTAGGGAATTAGTTTCAAAGCAATCAACATTCCAACTTTATGTAAACAACATTTTCTTTTTCTATAATAATAAATTAAATTAAAATGAAGTTTGTTATTCAACTTACATTTAGTATTACGCAACTACTTTCCTAATACCAAATATAGAAAGTTGTTTAATTCGTACGATAGATGGCACTAACATATATTTTTTGGTATTTCATTTTACGGTTCCACAACCAACTCCATGAAACTAATAATAATTGTATTATATTAAAATTAATTGTTTTTTTAACTATTTTTAACATGACGTAGAAATATATTTGTGCGCAACAATATTATTTACAAAGGAGACATGTACCTTGACTTCGCCTTAATAAAACTACATATAAAATAGTGAATAGTGAACTCATTCAGTATTAAAATAAAAGTTAAATTTGATTAAGCTATCACTCCAAGTACAGCTCATTTATACTAGTAATAGCAGACGTATTGATTAAATTGTTTTTGTAAGAAAAACACTCAGAAGCTTATCCATGAAGCTTTTCTTGATCTCATCCCACATTATTTAGAATCGGTGTAGTTTGTCCAATTTTTCCAATTTGTCCCATCACAAGTAATTTCTGCACTCACTCCTTTTTCTAAGATGTCTTCTTTCACACAGTCTATCCACGTATTCTTAGGATTCCCCTCCCCACACTACCCTTTACTTGCAGACATGTTTATCCATGAACTACGAAAACCTTACTTCACTGTTCCCGACACGACTCTGGTATTTTAAATGGATTTACCCGATATGTGGGTAGTTGAAAATTAAAAAAAAAACTTAATTCGATAAATAGAATACAATGATGAGAGTTGTTTTAGATCGTTTGACAAGATGGTCTGGGATTTTGACAGGTGACGAAGAAACTCTTTAGGGTATTGGACGTGGACGGTGACGGTTATGTTACAGCTGATAAAGTTATGGAATTCCTCTCAACGGTCAGCAGTAGCAGGTGAGTGGTTGATAATGACATTATATACCACCAGGACTATAACCTGGTCAATTATGAAAAAGCCCCACATAATGATGCCGTGTAATGTCATCTATACTAATGTATAAACAATGGTTTTTACGGATGTTCCGTTATAACTACTGAACCATGCATCCGATTGATTTGAAACTTGGTATCCATGTAGAAAATACATGTACTTAATGGATAGGCTAATATTTATATGAGTGTTGGACACCCTACGCCAGTTGCGGGGGCGTTAATGATGAGAATGTTTGTGGAGGTGAGAAATAATAATGTTAATTTTAAATGCCCAGCGAAGCGGACGGGCACAGCTATATAGTACCGTATAATATGAAAACGGTAATGTTTTTTACACTTTAGATATAAATTCAATATTTTAATACTTATTTTACTAATTTCATTTCACTTTGCTGTAATAATATTGTATAAAAAAAGTTAATAGCATTTTCTCGGCTATTCGCGAGTTTTAAAAATACCTGGATATTAAAAGTATTTTTAAAGTTTAATCTCACGTTTATTAATTTCGTTTCATCATTTCCAACAATTCGAATTCTTTACGGTTTTCGTAAAATTAGTTTTAATAATAATTTTAATTACAGAACAACATATAATAGAATTTTACTGGATCTGGAATGTGTATGTGTGTGTATGTGTATATTTAAATCAATTGATTGGTACACCGCGTGTAATTCGTTTCCAAATTATTATTTTCCACTTGATGGTTGTCTGGAAGTGATTGCTCTTAGCGATAAGACCGCCAACTGTACTTTTTTTTGTATTTAATGTTTCGCATTTTTTTTTGGTGTACAATATAGTACTTTCTCTCTCTCTCTCTCTCTCTCTCTCTGTCTTTCTCTCTTTTTTATTATAAAAAACAAGGGGCTTCTGGATACTGAAGGAGGTCTAAGAACGCATTCTAGCGGGAAAGCTTCCGACTATAATTTCTACTAAAACATATTTTGATTTGTCGACAGACCCCGCGTGGGCTTTGATAAGCACAGCGTTGACCGACTGGAGCAACTCTTCAAGGAGACGGTGGGAGATCAGAAGGAGATAACAAGAGAGCAATTTCAGAAGATAGTCGTCTCCAAAAATGTATGTAGTGAAAGCATACCTACGAGTAAAGTTTTCTTGGTGGAAATAGTTGGGTGTGGTGATGGGGAATGGGAACGTGCCATTGCAGTTTCTTGACACTATTTCACATATTTCATTTTTGGTGGTGGTAGGACCTCTTGTGAGTCCGCGCGGGTAGGTACCACCGCCCTGACTATTTCTGCCGTGAAGCAGTAATGCGTTTCGGTTTGAAGGGTAGGGCAGCCGTTGTAACTATACTGAGATCTTACAACTTATATCTCAAGGTGAGTGGAGCATTTACGTTGTAAATGTCTAAGGGCTCCAGTAACCACTTAACACCAGGTGGGCTGTGAGCTCGTCCATCCATCTAAGCAATAAATAAAAAAATAAAAAACGGTCTCTTAACGTGTTGTGTGACGCTGCTTATACCTTTTGCCTTCCCGCTGACCTGATGAGATGTGATAAAAAGACAATATCGCCTTTTCGCATTAAAAGTGTACAAATTCCAAAAATATTCGAAATTGAGTTATAATAATATGCGGAATAATTTGGTATCAGCAGTATTTTTCTAATAAATACTGTCAAAAGAGCGTAGTTTAGTTTTAGTTTTTTTTTAGTTTACCTATGTTTTGACTACTATTAACAAAATTAATACATAATTTTATCTTACTTTAAAAGACAGATAATGTAACTGGTAAAAAATAAAAAATAAATGTTGCAAAGATTATTAATATTAAAAATATCACATGTTAAATCTTTAAAACACTCTCCTGTAAAATTAGTAAGTTTTGAGATTATATACAGTTTTAATGCGAGAAGACGATATGTTATCACGGTTGCAATTGACTATGAAAATTTGAATATATCGGTAAACAAAGACGTGGTCAGAACTTGGCAACGTTGTCAACAATTATCTGTTAGAACGAAAATACATTACAAAAGGCTTTCTACATTTTCGGTCAAAGACTGTGGTGCGGTTAAGTGACCAGATAGCACAGAAAAAGTAGGACACTGTAGAATTTGTTTTTTCTTCTTTTTCTTAGATGGATGGACGATCTCACAGGCCACCTGGTGTTAAATGGTTACTGGAGCCCATAGACATCTATAAAGTAAATGCGCCACCCATCCTGAGATATAAGTTCTAAGGTCTATGGTTACAACGGCTGCTCCGCCCTTCAAACCGAAACGCATTACTGCTTCACGGCAGAAATAGGCGGGTTGGTGGTACCGTGCGGACTCACAAGAGGTCCTACCACCAGTGGTAATACCAGAGTAGTTCTCTTTAACCCTGACCTGTAGATATTACTCAATTACTTATCTTTTTTCAGCCATTCTTCACAGAGCGGGTTTTCCAGATATTCGATGAAGACGATTCCGGGTCCATCTCTCTCCAGGAGTTCATCGCTGCCGTGCACAGGTTCGCGGGCCAGAGTCCTGACGACAAGATCCGGTTCTTGTTTAAGGTTTATGACTTGGATGGTAAATTTTACTACTTTCATATTTCTATTTCTTGCTTATAACAATGCAAATTAACCACTATGAGAAGCCCGTCGTCAAAGATCTGATGTGGGATAAACTAACCCTTTGGCTAAGTGGTTATTTAAAAACTGTACCGCGGGATCTGGATGCAATTCCGATCAGTGCAGCCTTTGATATATTTATTAATAAGTGATGTTCGTCAAATTATCGATATTCTATTATAATCACTGACGCCACAGGATTCATTTTCATTCTATTTACAATCAACACAATTACTTCTCTTTTGTTTCGTTGTGTCGTAGATGTCTATGGGCTCCAGTAACCACTTAACACCAAGTAGGCTGTGAGCTCGTCCACCCATCTAAGCAAAAATGAAATAAAAATATTAGCATATTGACAAACACTATTTCCTTAAGCTTTTCTAAACCTCCATAAGTCTATTTAATCTTTTTTTTTAATTACCTTGTAGGCAGACGAGCATACGGCCCACCTGATGGTGAGTGGTTACCGTTGCCCATGGACTTCAGCAATGCCAGGGGCAGAGCCGCGCCGCTGCCTACCTAATCTAAAACCTTGACTTAATTTTCGACCAGGCGACGGCCTAATCCAACACAGGGAGCTGCAGCACGTGATGAGGGCGTGCATGGAGGAAAACGGCATGCAATTCAGCGATGAGCAACTCTTAGACCTGACCACTGCGATGTTCGAGGACGCTGACGTGGAAGAACGCGGGGCCATCACGTATGAAGCCTTGAAAAACCAGTTGAACAACCATGGGGGGCTGCTGGAGAATCTGTCGATTAGGTATGGAACCTGAATATTGATGGGTTAACTTTTTTTTATTGCCCTTGTAGGCAGACGAGCACACGACCCACCTGATGGTCAGTGGTTACCGTCGCCCATGGACTTCAGTAATGCCAGGGGCAGAACCAAGCCGCTGCCTACAAAGGACATATTTTAGCGCTCGGAAAACACCATGGAGGGGAGCTCATTCCATAGCCGGATGGTACGTGGCAAAAAAGATCTCTGGAAACGCACTGTGGATGAGCGCAGTGGCTCCAGGTAGTATGGATGAACTCTACTCCGGTGGCGGGCGGTGCGATGGTAAAAACGAGATGCCGGTATCATCTCGAACAATTCCTCAGAGCACTCCCCATGGAACATACGGTACAAAATACAGAGGGAACCGAAGTCCCTCCGCAGACTCAGAGGTTCCAAACGATCCGTTAACTCTTAACTCTAAAACTTTCGACCTTGATTTCTAACTAATGCACCAGTGACAATGAGTGACCGCGAAAGTGACAGACCTTTTCGTAGTTAAAACAAAATTGTACACTTAATTAACCCATAAGAACCTTATGAGTAAGTGTATAGCGATAATTAGACCGTAACGTGTATAATGTGGCCACCAGACAACCTTGAAAGATTGATTGTGGTGGGCAAGGTAGAAGAGAAAAGACCCGCCGGCCGGCCACCAAACCGTTGGTCGGATCAGATAACTGCGCTCACTGGACTCTGTTGCGAACGCCCTGAGAGAAGCCGAAAACCGAAGCAAATGGAAGCTGATGGCACATAGAGCCACGAAGGGCTTTCAGGGATACGACCTTCAGCAATGAAGTATTCGACTAAGAAGAAGAACGTGCATACATAATTAGACTACTAACTCACACCACTGTAACTCATGTATGGCCAGAGTCTGTAGCCTCACCTCCGCGAAAAGACTGAGTAATGATATTTAAGTAATAAAATAATCCAAAGGAAAGTTAATTTCGTCTATGATCCCACAACGAACTCAATCAGAAGATTATAGTATTTAAATGTTTACTCCTCTCCCCGTAAAGGTTTTCGCCGAGGCAATAAGTTTTGCAATAGCGCCTTAATAGAAACTCAGAAAAATGTAAAAGTTTGTGTAAATACCCCGCTTACAATAAACCATTTTCTATCATGCTCCTCATTTTCAAAAAGTGAACACTATTGAATGCTGGTTCCAATTTTTCTAATAAAATACGTACTTAAGAAATGTTCACGATTGACTTCCACGGTGAAGGAATAACATCGTGTAATAGAAATCAAACTCGCAAAAATTATAATTTGCGTAATTACTGGTGGTAGGACCTCTTGCGAGTCTGCGCGGGTAGGTACCACCACCCACCTATTTCTGCCGTGAAGCAGTAATGCGTTTCGATTTGAAGGGTGGGGCAGCCGTTGTAACTATATTTGAGACCTTAAAACTTATGGCGCACGTTGTAGATGTCTATGGGCTCCAATGACCACTTAACACTAGATGGGCTGTGAGCTCGTCCACCCACCTAACCAATAAAAAAAAATATGCTCGTATGTGTACTTCGTTTTTTTTATAACACAACTTGCCCCATTATGATGAACCATTTTCCCTTACAGCATTGACCGCTGGCTGGTCCCCCCCAAACCAGACCCCAAGCCGAAGAACCTGCGCCATAAGCTAGCCAAATTAAAACCTTACCAGTTCTCTTTACCTTACTTCAAAAACAACTATGTTTATGTGATATACCTGGTTCTCTTCTACTTGGTGAATTTTGGGTTGTTCGTGGCGAGATGCATTGAGTACAGACAGTCTAACGGCTTCGTCATCGTGGCCAGAGCTTGTGGTGAGTCCGTTTATGTAGTAAATAGGCGAATGTTTTTATTTTTATTGTCTTCTAGCACAACGGTTTTTTCAATACTGATGATATTTTAATGTTGTGTCTCAAATCGCGACATTCGAGGTGGACTGGCAAGATCCTAAAGGTCGCTGGAATCCACTAGATGAAACCTGTGCAGGACTGGTCATAATGGCGAATCTTGTGGGAGGCCTATATCCAGCAGTGGACATCTATGGGCTGATGATAATGAGTAAATTCACCTCTTTATATTATTCCGAAGAACAAGTATAATAATAATTTACGTCATGAAATAAAATGTATTCTAAACAAGAGAAATCGTGAACAAAAACGATAGTTTTAACGGAAATGTTTTATGGAAATTGTAGTTAAAAATTTAAAGCACATGAAAAATTCGCATACACGAAAGCTGCTAGCGTATTTTGTGAAATATTAATACTAGCTAATTCAAAACAAAGTGAGACTTAGAAACGGATTTAGATTTAAGTACTTTAAAAACATATATACCAGTTTTTAATATTTGAAAGGTACGAGTATTATGTCCTGCAGTGTACAATACAGTGGCCTGACTTTGGTAAAATTTTATTCGAACTTATTCACTTTTATTAACCAAGTCCAATATATCAATGATCGTAATACGAATTGAGAAGATTGCGCTATTTCCACTTAGCCTGTTTATATGTAGCTTCTCATTCCAGGTCAATGCTTGAATTTCAACTGCGCCTGGGTTCTTGTCCTCATGCTGAGGCACAGTATCACAGCGCTGCGAGTCCGGGGCTTCGGTTCAGTCCTGCCTTTGGACCACCACATATATCTGCACAAGCTGACGGGGACACTCATATTTGGATATAGTCTCCTGCATACGCTGATGCATCTTTGTAATTTTAGTATGTTCACTTATTTATTTATGCTATTTTCTCAAAGAGAGAAAGATAGCCTTGGACGGCTTTGTCTTCGAATAGAAAACCAGCAAAGGCTAACGGTATTCAATTTGGACGTATTTCTCCTTAAATACGCTCTGCACTATAAACAAGAAGGTTCGTTCTATTCAAGCCCAAGATTTGAAATGAAAACGGTAGCAAAGTTTAATTTCTAAGTTAAGTTTAAGTAAAACAGCAGTTGCATATTAAAATTGAGAATGACCTCAAGTCTTGGGACGGGTGGCGCCATTACATCGTCGCTGAGCTTCGGTATCTTAACACCAGATGGGACGTGATTTCGTCACAAGTTTAATGCAAAAAAGATGAATAAACTAGAAGTACATACATTTTCATCTCTGTCCAGGTCTCGTTGTAGTCAACGATCCAGTGATAAACAAGTCAAATTACACTCTGACTGAATGGCTATTGACGGAGCGCCCAGGATTATTTGGACTGGTGGGAGGCTGTGCTAATGCTACAGGAATAGCTTTGGTCGTAATCCTTGCTGTGATGTTCGTCTGTAGCCAGCCCTTCATACGGAGGGGAGGAAGTTTTGAGGTATACCATCATCATCATCATTATCTTGCCCTTCTCCCAGTTACCTGGGGTCGGCGCAACATGTTTTCTCCTTCCATACTCTTCTATCATATACAATTTCTTCGCTCACTCCCCTCTTACCCATATCGTCTTTCACGCAATCCATCCATTTCTTCTTAGGTCTACCTCTTCCTCTATATCCTTCCACATTCATAGTTAACATTTTCTTACCAACCTCATTTACATCTCGTCTCATCACATGTCCATACCATCCCAAACGCGCACTCCTCAGCTTCTCTGTCACAGGTGCCACTTTCAAACTTCCTCTAACATATTCATTCCGTATTCTATCCATTCTCGTTACTCTACACATCCATCGCAACATTCGCATCTCTGCTGCATGCAATCGCCTTTCATCCGCCACTGTAGTGGTCCAACAAGCTGATCCATACAAGTGATGAGGTATACCATCAATTAGGGTATAATCCGTTATTATACTGACTGTAATAGTAGAGATGTGGTTTGAAAGTCTATTAGCTTCAATATGACATCCTAACACCGGGTGACACGTGAGGTCTTCCACCCATCTTCTCTTCTTCTTTTTCTCCACCTTATCCCATTAGCGGTAGGAAGTGGCTTAGCTCTGCCCCTGGCATTGCTGAAGTCCATGGGCGACGGTAACCACTCACCATCAGGTGGGTCGTATGCTCGTCTGCCTACAAGGGCAATAAAAAAAAAAAGGTGGGGTCGGCATAGCTAATTTTTCTCTTTAATTTTCTTCTATCAGCCGTCATCTTAACATCCACTCCTCTCTCTCTCGTATCGTCATTCACACACTCCATCCATTTATTCTTCGGTCGACCTCTTTCCCCTCTACCTTGCACTACCATTTCCATGCATGTCCTAGTCACATGCACCCACCCATCTAGTGCCATAAATAATAAAAAATACTCAATAAATATTTCAGGTATTTTACTGGACTCATCTGCTGTACGTGCCTTTCTGGTTACTACTGATCTTCCACGGACCCAACTTCTGGAAGTGGTTCATAGTACCGGGAACTATTTATCTCACCGAGAGGATCTTGCGACTGGCTTGGATGAGGTATCGTAAGCCGCGATAAGGAATCCTTTTTTTTTATTGCTTAGATGTGTGGACGAGCTCACAGCCCACCTGGTGTGAAGTGGTTACTGAAGCCCATAGACATCTACAACGTAAATGCGCAACCCACCTTGAGATATAAGTTCTAATCTCAGTATAGTTACAGCGGCTGCCCCACCCTTCAAACCGAAACGCATTACTGCTTCACGGCAGAAACAGGTAGTACCTACCCGCGCGGACTCACAAGAGGTCCTACCACCAGTAAATTGGCTATTTTAGATTACCTTTGATAATTTCATCAAGATACTCACTCTCACTCATAGACGAAGCGATACCCATTAAAATGCTATCTGAATTCTTGTATCAACATTTCCTTCTCCAGGTCAGAGCGCGGCAAAACGTACATCTCCTCGGGAATACTCCTGCCATCCCGGGTGACGCATCTCGTCATCAAGAGGCCGCCGGCCTTCGACTATCACGCCGGCGACTACGTCTTCGTCAACATTCCAGCCATCGCCAGCTACGAGTGGCATCCTTTCACGATCAGCAGCGCGCCTTCTCAACATGGTAGGTCTGGTCGACGTTGGTAAACGCCACTTCGATAAAGCGGCACGACACGAGAACCCGCTCATCGTGGACGCCGGTAACTACATTCCCGATCCTGCGGAAAGAATGGAAAGCAGTCGACGTCGCCCCAAACACGTCATTTCGGATCCTCTCGATCCAATAACGGTGCTTTTAGGTGCCTCAAGCACCGGTCATCGTTCTCGTCGAACCCATCGCTTGCGACGAAGAGCTCGACGAGTAAATTAACCCACAGACACAGCCCACTGAGTTTCTCGCCGGATCTTCTCAGTGGATCGCGTTTCCGATCCGGTGGTAGATTCTGCGAAGCACGGCTCTTGCTAGGGTCAGTGTTAGCAACGTCGTCAGGTTTGAGCCCCGTGAGCCCACCTACTAGTTAAGGTTACGCTGATATAGCCTCTCAAGGCTCTCAGCTTAGGTAGGGAAAAAAAATATTGGTGAACGATTTGAACAAACAAATTAGTTGTCCATTGGTGACGCTGTAAAGGTTTTGTGCTGTACCGACGAGACGTTTGTAAGTTCACGTTACGTACTTATTAAGTTGTTTGTATTACGTAATTACATTTAACATTATACCCGCAAAAATTATAAATTGCGTAATCACTGGTGGTGGAACCTCTTGTGAGTCCGCACGGGTAGGTACCACCGCCCTATCTATTTCTGTCGTGAAGCAATAATGCGTTTCGGTTTGAAGGGTGACAGTTGTAACTATACTGAGACCTTAGAACTTATATCTCAAGGTGGGTGGCGCATTTACGTTGTAGATGTCTATGGGCTTCAGTAACCACTTAACACCAGGTGGGCTGTGAGTTCGTCCACCCATCTAAGCAATAAAAAAAAACATTAATTTCAAAAATTTACACTCCTCTAGACTCAGCTAAGTTAAAAAGAACAATAGTGGAAGACATTTTCACTGTTAAGGTCCGCTGATATATTTAAAAGCCATAACGTAGAACCTATTTAACTAGTTATTAAAAAACTAGCGACCCGCCCTCGCTTCGCTTCGGAAACTGTAATTTATTATTGATTTCTCCACTATTTAATGGATGTTATTATACATATAAACCTTCCTCTTCAACCACTCTATCTATTAAAAAAAACCGCATCAAAATCCGTTGCGTAGTTTTAAAGATTTAAGCATACATAGGGACAGACAGATATAGGGACAGAGAAAGCGACTTTGTTTTATGCTATGTAGTGAAGTAATAAAGTCATGAATTAACAAATTTCTTAGATTTAAACTTAGTTTGCATATGAAGCGTTCGTAGACCTGCCACGCTTTGTCTTTGTGACCAACCTGATGCCTTTTAGATTACATCTGGCTCCACGTACGAGGAGTAGGGGAGTGGACGAACAGATTGTACTCGTATTTTGAGGAGCAGGCCAGGATACATGCTGCTGATGCGAACTCCAGGCTCGGGGAACACCAGTGAGTAAGAATCAAGGTCCACTATTACACGCTATACTTAGTCTGGCCATAAATACTGTTACAATTAAAAATAAACAAAATATTAGATTTGAATTTGGAATCTGTCATTTTTATATGATTGCTCATTGAGTTCTCATTTTGGCGCCACAATACATTGTACAATATTTTGCGATATTAAAATGGAGTGGGGTGATAAAGAGAACCGAATCGCTGTGATTGCATTACACAAAGTAGGCATGGAGCCAAATACAATTTTTAACTCTCCATACGCTTGGTATTAGTAAAATTTTTGTGTACCGGGCTATTAATAGGTGCACTGAGACCTCCTTACCTTCACTTGTATGTATGTTTGTATGTTTGTAACTGACTCCTTTAGACGCGATTTTGACCCACGTTAAGTAGCCAGATTTCATTCAAACTTTTTAGATTTATCGAGGACCGATGACAATACACTAATTTGATAAGATCGTTCCATTATTCAATTTGCAAAATAAGATTTTTGCCAATTTATATAATTTTTATCTATAGTCGATAAGACAGGAATTGATGTTAAAGTACTTAATAGTTTTAAAAACACGCTTTTATAGAAAATTTAACTAAAAAATGAAAAATAAATAATAGTTTAAGAAACTAAAAAACACGCTTTATATAAAATTCAACTAAAAAATAGAAAATAAATTTTAATAAATTTAAATCGAAAATAATGTAAAATATATTTTATTTAAAAAAAAGCGTGGGTTGCTTTTTAAGATATTATTTAAATAATAATTCTTCTACTCATATCTAAAAAATGTTTATAACTAATAACACCGTGCACCATGCACGCTTTTTTTACAATAAAATATATTTTACACTATTTTCAATTTAAATTTATTACAATTTATTTTTACCTCCGTTTGGAGACGTGTCTCACAATCTGAATCTAATGTTTCTGGTAGACAAGTAGCCCGCACCACATCGATCCTGAGCAAACGGAAGAGTTCCGGTGGGAGTGCCAAGAAGAGATCGGTGGACTTCTCTCGTTCCTGTTACACCAGCGAAGCTTTCACTCTTGACGAGGAGGAGAACAATGCGGAATATAAGAAGGAATTCGAAGGTTTCCACACCCATGAGTTTTTTTTATGATTAAAGTTTTACTGGTAGCCCGGAGGCCTTTCCAGTTTCACCAGGAAAGGTGGGCGAGCAAAGGCTCAGCCAGGAGGGGTGGGATTTGTAACAACTGCCCGAGCGCCTCCGAAGGAGACCTAACAACTCAAGAGCAGCTGCTTCGCGAATGAATCTACTACCGGATCGGAATCGCGACCCGCTGAGAAGATCCGGCGAGAAACTCAGCGAGCTGATGCATGGGTTAGGCTGCACGTCGACCTCTTTGTCGAGTTCGACGAGTACGGTTACCGGGGTTCCTAAGCCTGCTCCTAGTGTTAGAGCTGAAGGTATCTAGTGCAAGAGTTATTGGATCTGATGGATCCGTAAGGACGTGGCCCATGACGTATACTGTCTTGAGTGGGATATCTTTATCTTAAAGAAGATGAACATGACTGTGACTATTCAATCGAAAATTTACAAGAATACGACCCCCGGTGCATTCGTGTGTAGTAATGCACCGATGTTCGAATCCCGCAGACAAGTAACAACTTTTCTAATGAAATATGTACTTCATAAATGTTCACGATTGACTTCCACAGTGAATAATAATAATCGTGTATGAAAATAAAGGCCGCAAAATTATAATTTGCGTAATTACTGGTGGTAAGACGCCTTGTGGGTCCGCACGGGTAGGTACCACCACCCTGCCTATATCTGCCGTGAAACAGTAATACAGTTCTGTATAAATGCTGAGGCAGCGTTGCACTACAGAAGTGAAACTTAGAATTCATATCTCAATGTTAGGACTAATTAAAATCAATAATTATTAAATGCCGCCAGCCTCTTGGGCACTCTGCTCTGACTTGGGGTAAATTTTTTACACTATCTAGTTTTATTTTTAGTTTGGTATAAATATATAGTTTATTTAGTAGTTTTCTGTTAGTATATAATAAAAAAATATATAGGAAATTAGTTAATTTTAATTAGTAATTTGAAGTCTGATGTTTCGAAATAAAATTTGGTTCATATAATTATTATTTCCTCAACAGCATTTTCGCCTTCTTCGATAACGCACAGCACATTGTTAGCGCCAAAGCACTTAGAAAAGTCTGCTTCCATGCCTGACGTGCAGAAGAACATCAAAAAGCGACAGAGAATATTAGCGTAAGTTTCAAATGCTCCAGAAGTATGGATTTTAGCGATCCAATTACCGAATGATACCTTCTTTGGGCCGGTTGGGAGCTTGGCTTAACACAGATCCATCACCTCCACCCATAGAACTCCGGACATACTCGTAACATATCCATCCAGGAAACCTTATTATGTTACCTGGTAGCAAACGGTTACCGTAGTTCAAAGACGTCGTTAATCGCAAGATCACAACCAAGCGGCTGCTTACTGCAAAGAAGAATAAATTAGTCACGAGAAACCGTGTAAAATTCATTCCAGAACCGAAAATACATTGTAAATCGTAATGTCTTCCGGTCACCGTCCTCGTCAAACCCGTTGCTTGCGATGAAGGGCTCGACGAGCGAATTAACCCATAGACCCAGCCCACTCAGTTTCTCGCCGGATCTTCTCAGTGGGTCGCGTTTCCGATCCGGTGGTAGATTCTGCGAAGCACGGCTCTTGCTAGGGTCAATGTTAGCAACACACCGGTTTGAGCCGCCTGAGCGACACGTTAGGGCGAAGCTGATATAGCCTCTCAAGTCTATCAGCATAGGTAGGAAAAAAAAGTAATGTCTCGAGATTCCATATGGAATGGACTCTGCCACAATTGCGGATGGTGCAATGAGAGAACGGAGAGGAAAAAACATTTCAAAAGATTCCACAGAGCCCATTCCTTGGAACATACAATACAGACCCAACGAACCGAAGTCCCTCCGATCTAAAGACTCTAAAAGATCTGCACGATTAAGATAAAACACGATTATAGATTGAGCATGATTACGATTTAAATATACATTTAAACTTGAAACATTTTAGGATGCGAGAATTCATGCGCTCAGAATCCGAGAGAAGCTTCGATTTGGTCAGTGTGAAGGCACAAAAAAAGATAACGAGCGCTTACAAAAGCCCCCAACACAGAGTGCTGGCTCAAAGCTTTCGGTATATGAGAAATAAGCCCGTTATTATAGCTTTTAAGACTCCAAGCCTTGAGAGCTGTGAGAGAAGGCAGTCTAATGATAGCATTTTGACCATAGGTGAGTTATACTTATATTTTCATGTGAATTTAATGATTTAAATAATAATAATTTCTTGAGTTAATATTTTCATAAATTAAGAGACCAAGAGTTTTTTTATTAACTTTCTGATAATCCTCTAAACGTGCCGTACTCTTCTTTCCTATTATTGGAGCGAAAGGAAATAACTGATTGTGCCTAAAAAGTCTGCAACTGTACCTCTGTCGAAAATTTTAAATAAAACCACACTTCCGCCGGAGGCAAGCTCACAATCCAATATGAATTTACCACGGCCGCAGATTAGAGAATCGATCAAATAGATTAGTTAGGTTCACTTAGTCTTTTCTATCCAAGGTGTCTATGCCAAGTTATGCACAAACTCAGATGCCCAAAAACCCTGCAAAGAAGTACTTTGCTTTAGGTAGAAGTCTGATTTATATTAAGAGTGGCTACATCTTTAAATAGCATCACGTTAAGTAAATGGTTCACGGCAGAAACAGTCAAGATGTGGGTCACGACCAGGACAGGTCTACCACACGTCTCACCACAGTGTCTACAGACTTTTAATTTCGCAGCAAGACGCAGATTGTCGAAGAGTCTATCACCAGATCGAGATCCAGAGAGTTTCGACAAGCCTGACATCAACATCATTAGTCCTTCGGAGTCCACGGCTGACGACCACTCCTTCTCCAGCTATGCATTTGGAAAACCGCTCGAAGTGAGTCAATATCCATATTTTTATGGGTGCTGATATTTTCTCATATTGTCTTCTATTTAGTCTCACATTAGGCGGGGTCAAAATGTATCAGTAGCATCGGGTAATCAGGCGGGTACCAATTTTTCTAAAGAAATCCGTACTTAACAAATGTTCACGATTGACTTCCACGGAAGGAATGGCATCGTGTAATAAAAATCAAAACCCGCAACATTATAATTTGCGCAAAATTATAATTTGGTTGGACATCTTGTGAATCCGCACGGGTAGGTACCACCACCCTGCCTACTACTGCCGTGAAGCAGGAAAGCGTTTCGGTTTGTAGGGTGGGGCAGCCGTTGTAACAATACTGATACCTTAGAACTTATATCTCAAAGTGGGTGGCGGCATTTATGTTGCAGATGTCTATGGGCTCCAGTAACCACTTAATACCAGGTGGGCTATGAGCTCGTCCACCCATTTTAAGCAAAAAAAAAATCTGCTGTTTGAAGAACGGCACAGCCACCGTTCTTAGGCAAGCTTTATTCTTCCATTGGAATTCATCTACCACTTAAGTTTGGAAAATATTGGCCTCAGCGATACAGAGCAATACCTTGTTCTTAAACCGCGGTCTGTAAAGAGTCCAGTGACCGCAGCGGCAACCTTTTCGAGGTTAGGTACCGTCGGATGACGTTCTTTTTTTTATTACCCTTGTAGGCCGACGAGCATACGGTCCACCTGATGGTGAGTGGTTACCGTCGCCCATGGACTTCAGCAATGCCAGGGGCAGAGCCAAGCCGTTGCCTACTTTACTGCCTACTGCTTTATTGGAATATCGCGTGTTCCACCAGATCTACCTGGACGGGCCGTATGGTGCGGCGTCGTCCCACATCCTGCGCGTGGAGCACGCCGTGCTGGTGGCGGCCGGCATCGGCGTCACGCCCTTCGCGGCGCTGCTGCAGGAGCTGGCCCACAGACACCAGGCCGCGAGGAACACCTGCCCACGCTGCTCCCACACTTGGGCCGTTCAACCAGTCGGGACAACGCTTAAAAAGGTATATACGAATAACGTTAATATGAATTTATAAAGTACAATGAACATATCAACTTGTGTTTTTTCCAAAGTTTTTTCCTTCATACCTGATCTGGTGCCTATTCTAGATCTGATAGAGACCTATTTTTTTTTTATTGCTTAGATGGGTGGACGAGCTCACACCCCACGTGGTGTTAAGTGGTTACTGGAGCCCTTAAACATCTACAACGTAAATGCGCCACCCACCTTGAGATATAAGTTTTAAGGTCTCAAGTATAGTTACAACGGCTGCCCCACCCTTCAAATCGAAACACGTTACTGCTTCACGACAGAAATAGGCAGGATGGTGGTACCTACCCGTACGGACTCACAAGAGGTCCTACCACGATTAATTGCCAGCGTAACCGAGCGAGTAAGTGAGCACACGGGGCTCTAAGCTGAGGACATTGCTAATACTGGTCCTAGCAAGAGCAGTGCTTCGTATAATCTATCACCGGATCGGAAACGCGACCCACTTAGAAGATCCGGCGAGAAACTCAGTGGACTTTTCCAACGGGATCTATAATGTTAAATATATCAAAAAAAGATGTGGTCATCGGATAGGAACGAAGTTCCTTCTTTGAAGTTCTATTCGAGTTATAAAGAAAATAAAACTGGAGGTTTCGCAACAACCCATGGTCATTCGGTAACGTGCGAACTTATTGTGGTACACTTCATTCACGGTTATATAAGAGTTAGTGTATTGCGCAAACCAGATCGTGGTCAATGAATGATAAAAAAATATGTTATTTTTTGTACGTTATTACAAAGTTAAGTCGTACACTGTGTGGATTACTAATAAAAATCTTACGTTACGGACATTTTCCCGGTTAGGGTACCCCTCCGCATCGTCCCATAAGGAACTTCATTCCAATAACCCATAATAAATATCAGTATCTCTCTGTCTGACTAAGGTGGATTTCTTCTGGATAAACCGTGAGCAGCGCTCGTTCGAGTGGTTCGTCTCCCTCCTCTCCCAGCTGGAGATGTCGCAGGCTGAGCTCTGCGGAGACGAGGGCAGGTTCCTCGACATGCACATGTACATCACCAGCGCCCTACAGAGACACGACATGAAGGCGGTCGGACTGCAGCTGGCTTTGGATTTGTTGCACGAAAAGGTATATACGAACCGACCTTTTTTGATAGCTTAGAAAATTATTGATAATAATTAATAATTGATAATATTTATTTATATATATTTTTATATGTATATATTTATGTATGTGTATTTATTTAAGTACGAGTATTTGTATCTATAAATATTATGTATGTTAGATATACACATATGTTAAAGTAATATCACCTTCACACTACACCTACCAAGCTTCATCTCTGCACTCCCCTAAGGTAGACTGTTAGAGAATACCTATGGCATTAAGTCCGCCTTTATACTTTCTAGTATAAGAAGTTATAAATAAATAAATTAATAAATAAAAATAATGTACCTTATGACCGGCTCAGTGAGCTCTAAATGCTATGATGTATCCTTAACGTGACCATACGTCCCGCTTTAGGCGGGATTGTCCCGCTTTCAAGCTGTCTGTCCCGCTGTCCCCAACGAGAACAAAAATATTACGGTTTTACATAACAATAAAACCGATATTATGTGCCGAGAAGGAAAACATACAGCATTGTATTATGAAGAAGCAGTGTGTACTTAGCTTAGATTCCTTGTCTATGTCCAACCATAGACCGTCAATTGAGTTCCATCTTTAGCCGCTAGGTGCTGCCAGCAAGTATAAAGGGAGCGCAGCCATCTTTGATCTTCATAGTCTTCACCAGGAAGAACTTCCTGCAATGCTGTATGTTTTCCTTCTCGGCACATAATATCGGTTTTATTGTTATGTAAAACCGTAATATTGATGTGCCTTTGGAAAACATACAGCATTGTATTATGAAGACGTGTTTGTTATCTGCTGGTGAAATTATTAAGCACAACGCTATGATGAAATAGGTAAAGCCATAATAAAATTATGAAGCGCAATGATAATGTTCATAATTTATATAATTATTAAATCGAAAAAACAGTTGTTAACTTCCA